AAGGAGACACACACATGCACACTCAAACGCATGAACTTTCTCAGGGCTCAAGGAAACTACGATATATATATATATTATTATATTATATTATATTATATTATATTATATTATATTATATTATAGTATATTATATTATACTATATTATAATATAATATATTATATTATAGTATATTATATAGTACAGTCTCTTTCGGGCCTCCTGGGAGTGCTGGACGGAGGGCCGCAAAGCAACGCCTCGAAGAAAGCGACCCGACAAAGTCGGAAGGGTCGAAAGCATCTCTACATGACTCTACTCCCTTGCTTTTGAGGCCGACACTGCCACCTACGGCACGCCGCGGCCTAAGCCTCGGGCTAGTGCTACAGGTGTCACCCGCACATCTGCGTCTCTTTTCGATGGAGCTCGGATCACGGCGGTGTCCCATGGATTGTTAAATCGGCACAGGGCCTGGCCAAGGCCAAGCTTTTATGAGAATCTGCATCGATTATAAATATAATCTTCTAGTTTTTGTTCTATGTGCTTTGAAGCATTGCTTGCTTTCGTCTGGCGTTCGTTGCGTCTGAAGCCGCTTATGCCCTCCCGAGGAGGTGGTTGTGAAAGTCCTGCTGGTCCAGCATGGTTGTTGGCCTGGAGTGAAGGAGTGAAACAACTGCTGTTTCCAACACTGGCATTGGTTGCTGTTAGAAAAGCTGCGTGTTGTTGGCCCAGCACAACATTCTCTGGCCTGTGCATCCGATTTCCGCCTCAGAGGGCAGATTGCTTGACATCCTGGTTGGCGGTAGTCTTGTCGACGTGTCGGCTTGCTGGAAAAAGTTGGCCTTTGTCGGCTTCCAAACGTGTCGTGCAGGATGGGTTCAGACCGCATCAAACCCTGAAACCTCATGAGCAACACTAGCTGCAATGCCGGAAGCCACCTGGACCTCAGCAGCAGAGGTGCTACCCCGAGGAAAACAGAAACACGAGAGTGGGTAAATAAGATGCGCTGATATGCCAACCCAAGTAAATCAGCCTACAGATAAGACCTATGGAGATTCAAAGATGCCGATGCAGGAGACGTCGGCACCATCCGCTGCAAACACACACGTTCCGTGCGCCAGTATGAAGGGGCATCGATGTAAGTCTTCCGAATTGTGCCATTCATCTTGCCCCATTAAACCCCAGGCTCCAGACTTTGCGTCATGCCTACAAGCTCAGGTTGTCCAAGCCAGCACTGCAAAACCGCAGAGAAATCTACCACAGCACAGCAGTGCTTGACAAAGCAACGCTTCCCATCAATGGTTGTGGGAGAAAGCTGGTCGCCGAGACCGCTCTCTGTGCATCTCCCTCTCCATATATCCCTTTCACACATCCCAGTTGTGGTGGGAGGCATGACAGTTCGGTACGCGGTGTATGTGTGCCAGAAGCTGCGACCGCATCACGAGCGAAAGTGCGCATCTCCTTCTTGCATTTCCAAACTACCTCTTTCAAAATGGTACATGTCAATGTGCTACAAGTAGCCTGCCTGGGCGTGTCCAGGCTTGCATTGCTCTCTTGTGTGCCTGAGGCAATAATATTGGATTTTCGGTGGTGTTCAAATTGAGGCTGGTCGAATATTGGAGTTGTTCCAGACTTTGGGACCCGAGCCAACGCTGTCATCACAAAGCTTGATCCAGTCAGGCACTTCCTCTCGGGCACTGCATGTTCAAGGTCAAACCACAGGGTGCTCAGCTCAAGGTAACAATTTGTTTGGGCTTCAGCATAACTCACAATGTCTCCGAAGGAGAGTGTCTGAGATCTGTATGGGTTCCTAAACGAGGATAAACAGCATGCCTCAAGGATGCGGTTCGGCGTTTACCATGCAAACACCCCCTGAAATCGCACGCCAGCAGCCGCACAACATCTCAGCAACCCCCGGTCCCCATCCGGCTCTTCCTTGCCCAGGACTGCAACCTGCAAACCATGGCAAGTCATTGCACATCTGCATGCTGCAGCCACTTGGGGAACTCTGCATCAGGGTGGGCACCTCGATCAACCGACGAGTCCTGAGTGCAGCACTCAATCGACTCTGCAACGGGATAGATTTTGCTCTGAGACATAGGCATGCGAGCCAGCATGCGCTCGAGGAACGACCTCTCAAGTTGCAATCTCTTGAGAGAGGCCGCCTGCTGGCGCTCTGCGAGCGCTCTGCTTTGGCCAAAGCACACGCGGCTCTCGCAGCCCGGGCTGAGGTTCACCTCGAGGAGCCACGGCTTCATTGCCTTCGCAGCGCAGGCACCAAGCCTGTGCTCAAGAGTGCAGCGCGGCAGTGCAGGCCTCGTCCACGATGAGGTCGAATCCGAAGAGCTCGAAGCTTTCCGCTCGGGGCTGAAGGCTAGCCTCCACGGACCGCATCACCTCACACCGGGATGAACCTAACACCCTTGTCTGGAAACAACTGATGGGTCTTCTTGCCTCAATCACGATCTGCTTGATCGCTGGCAGTAAGACTGCCTCCCAATAGTCCTCACCACCATGCCGGGGTGCTGGCAGACAGGAACACTTACGGTCTCAGGGTCTCCTACTTCACCCACAAAGCCTGACGCAGCTGTGCCAGCAGTCGAAAGGCTTACCGGCGATGCAGAAAAGTCTATCACGGAGGTTCTTTGCAACGTGAAGCAGTCAATACCACTGGAAGATGAACTTGCAGAACGATTGCTACGTTCGAGGGTTTGCTTACCCAGTCCTCGCGGCCGGTCAGTTCGGCAAGCTGCTCTCTGAAGTCTGCGAGGGACACAACGGCGCCCTCCACGACATTCTTCCCGTGCCTCGAACGGCTTGCCAGGATGAGCCAGAGCACAAACATTGTCACATGCCGTTACATGCTACATGGTGCTGAGATGACTGTGCTTCACTGACGGCTGGTTTTCTCCAAAAAGCATATAAGGCTTAACAGACACTGCTCAAGATTCTGTGCAGCTGAGTGTCTTGTTCACTTGCCAGTTTGAGATGTGTCTCTCCCGGTCCCGCAAGTCGCCAAGATCATACATGCCATTGCAAAGGCGCAGATAGCATTCGCTGAACATGAAGACTTTCAGTGGACGGACCGATCTCACCAATACCCATTGTCTGATGTCGAACTTCCGGCCACTGAACAGCAGGAGCGGCCTCTCGATGTACTTCTGAACCAATCGATTGGGCATACGGTCGCAATGGTGCAAGAGCTCTGCCAGGTTGCTCATACAATGAATTCCACTTCCTTTGCTATTCGTGCCGGGCTTCACAATCCAGACGTTCTGCCCGGACCAACCTCCATGCAAACCCCATTGCGGGAAGAGTGCCTCGAGTTTCTGCACCACCTGATCGAGGGCCAGCTGCGACTTGTTGTCGAGTTGCCCCCAGGAGTGGCTGAGAAACTCCGGCCAATCCTTCAGATTCGTCGGCCGGTTGCGCTCGCTTCGCTCGCTTCGCTCAGACCTTGGGGTTTCCTCCGCCTTCATGTCGCCACCCCCAGGTCGAATCAACGGACGCCTTGGAACCCGCACGTTCGCCGTGCCCGAGCAGAGCTGCGGCTGTGTCAGCTCGCTGTACAGCACCAGCGCATCCCAAAGGTCCTAAGTTGGAGTCGTGCCTAATAGCCGCATCCCGTCATCAACAAAGCGGAACTCATAAGAACATGAGATGTAGGGGGGTTGTGGCTAACTCCCGGAAATGGCATGCAATTATACACTCACCTGGAGAAACCTTGCACATTAAAATGTGAGCCCTGGGTTGGCAGCAAGTCTCTTCGTTCATGTGCTGTCCATCACTGCCCTCTTCATCCAAATGCTTTGGATCAAGATCTAGGCACCACCGCTGAAGGACCTGTGTACATGCCAGCAGGACCGTTTCGTTGCATGAATATGCAGAATCGGCGGCGGTCTGCATTGACTCTTGATCACGATGCAGTCGCTGATGTAGCAGTACGATTCGCAGTGCAGCAGAACGACGATAATCAAGAACGAAATCGTCTCTTTCACTTTTCTGGGCAATATCATAACATCGTGGGAAAAAAGCTTCGGCATTGATGCCGCCAGATATGGAGTATTCCTTCAAAGACTGCGCAAGGCCAGCTTTTGTGGTGAGAACCCGGTTGTGGAAAAAATGGTTGAAGTACTCCCCGGCCTTGAGTTCCCGATAGTCAGCCTCGGAGTCCAGTGTCCGCCAGGTAAGCTGTGGCTTTCCGGGAAGGGACAACAGGTGCTGAGTCGACTGAGCGATGAAGTCTTCCATCATCCTGGGAGTCTTGGCCATCGAAGGCAATTTCGGACGGGGCGAGACTTGCGGTGCCTGTGCTGCAATCATGGGCTTGTTGATGCCCTGGACACGACCAACCGTCTGCTCATTTGCCTCACTTATCCCAGGCTTTCCTTTCGATCCGGCGGAAGGCCCAACTGTGCCTTCCTCCTTTGCCTGAGCCGCAGGTTGTGCAGCCGCCTTTGGCGCCCCACCCCGAGCGGAATCCCATGCTTGCTGTTGCAGAGGTGCGGTACTGGCCATTTTCTTCTTCTCTGCAGGTTCAGGGTTTAAGTCGTCTGAAGATAACTTCTTCTGCGACCGCTGCCGACAGGACTTTGCAGGAGGAAGCGTGCGCCTGAGCGGACTCGCGGCTTGATTGACTGGAGCCTCGCGGGAGGTGAAAGAACCCCGGCGCTTATTTAGCTGGTTGTCGGGAGCATCAAAACGAGGTAGTCCCGTCTGCCGCGGTGTTTGACACAATTCGGCTTTCGGCAACCTCTGGAACGACTGGTGGTGTGCACCGGCTGACCGCGGCCGACGCGCCTGACGCAGAGGTGTCACTGACGGAGTCTCTCGAGCCGTCTTGGCCGCCTTCGTCGTCTTTGATGCCCGCACTGGTTGCAGGTCACCGGTTCGCAGCGTGAGGGCCAAAGTTGGTGCCTTGGGCTGGAGCAACTGGGGTGCCGCGATTCGAGCAGCGGATGGAACTTGGGCCCAGCCATAGCCAAAGGCGCTCGAGTCGGTGGCCCCGACTTGCAGATCCTCCGAAAATGTCTTCAAGCCTCGCAGGAGTGTGCTGAACACCGTGTCTTTGGGTGGCAGCACATAGTCGGATGCCAGCGCCATTGCATCTGCCATCTCATGATCCCGGGAATGCTTCTTTCCAAGCCTCCGAGGCCTTAACAATAGCTGCTCAGTACACTGCTTTCATACTTGCCCGCTGACAGTCGCAATCAATTTAAATTCAAGACATGTCTGTGCTTGAACCGCGTCAACCTCTCGTAGACATGTTGCGTCTCTGTTTTTGGGATCGTTGCTAAATACTCATAACAGGCCCGCGTCCTCTGCTGGCCTTTAGCTGTCAAGCATGTTTCAATCCTGCCTGTATGTACCATAGATCCCCAGTTCAGAAGAGGATGCGTGCCAATCATGCCTGTCCACCTGCGACTGCTGCGAGAGCACTTTGGTCCTGCCGAGCATTGAAGTGTAGTAAAGCAACTTGCAGCTGGCGGTTACATTGCATAGCAAGGGCAAGTCTTCCTCCGTCGCACCGTGGCACTGACGAGCCACTGGCGGTGTCAGAACTGCTGCCTGGCGGCACTACGAAGCATCAACAAAGGACCTTACAAGCAAAACAGACTCTTAAACTCTATATGCAATCGCATGGGCCCTTGCATAGATGCGCAGCACATCAATCAAGCCCAAGCCTCTTCTTCATGAGCATGTGGCCGTGAGGCTTCATGACAATCCTGTCGAGAGCCACACCGTGTCGCGAAGCATGCGAAGAAATGTGACTAAACTGTCCTGCAGAGGCACGTCGAGCTTTCGGTCCGTCCTCGGCAGGGGTGCAGCATGGTGCAGCAAAACTGGATTGCTCTCGCAGACCTGGGACCTGAGGCTTGCACAGTGTGATGACAGTACTTACGGAGGAACGCGCCTGAAGAACAGATCACCACGCGGCACATGCGAGCATGAGAGCATTTGAACAACTGCCAGAAGTAGAAGCCTCCTCGGCTTCAGCAGCTTTGCAACCTAAAGGATCCGCAAGCAAAGCAACCGGGGCCGTCACAGCTGGTTTGATTCATCCAAAGTGGTTTGCAAGCTTGAACACGATCTCTTTCTTGCGTCTCGAAATGGCTGAGTCCGTCGCGTTCAGTGTCGCTCTCCTTCTCGTCGTCCCGCATCGGTGCAGGCTCCTCGCTGCCATTTTGCCTGGCGAGAGAAGCCGCGAGAACAGCAGTTTCCATCAGGTATCTGATCAGTATCTCTAAGACGGCAAAAAGGTCCACCAAGGCCCTTCACGAAGTCGCATCAGTAACATTGTCAAGCACAATGAGGCAGGGACATGTGACGTGTTACTGCGGCGATCTGAAACTGCGGAAGCTGGACAACTGGCAAGATCGGGAAGCAGCTTAATTAACATCCATATTTTGACTTGGCAAGACTGGACTGGCGAGTTCAGGTGGAACCTTCCCGACATCGCTAGCAGAAACTTTCGAATTACCGAATCACCGGACCCTGGCCGTGATTCCAGACTTCTTATCAGTGCCCCTTCCACGAAAGTCAGCAAATGCTGGGTTGCCGAGTGTGAAGCTGTCGCAACTGGGAGGTGCAGGCAGTGCTGTAACAGAGCTACACACGTGTTGTGGTGTTTATCACATCAAGCCCTGGATAGCCCTGGCCAAGCGGGTGCAGCTCTCGACTTAAACCTTTCTTAAAAGTTACGTTACGATATCGTCAGCCTTTTCAAGCCTTGCCTGTGCCCAGCCCTTTGTCTCTCTCTGCTCAGATAAACCCGTTGGGAGCACCAGAAAAGTCCACCAGTCATAACCGAGAAGGCCATGCTGGCAGCCTGCAGGGTTTTGCAAATTCGTGATCATGCTGCCACTTCCCTTCTGTTATCTTCTGTTGCACCTCGGCCAAGCTTCTGCGGCGAGTCCCGCCGACCGGTGATGCCGGATCATCCGCTGCTGGCACAGCGGCAGCTGGAGCAGGTGCTGGAGCGGGTGCTGGCGCTGGAGCCGTCGGAGCAGGTGCTGGAGCAGCATCTTTCCTCGCGAAAGAAGCTAGCAGGGCAGCCCTGGCATCGACTTAGCACCATGGCAGCGGCACGGAGCCTCGATGAGCCTGGCCGAGGGCTTTGCGCAGGCGGGCGCTGTGCAAGACGGACGGAGATGTCGTTCCACCTGGCAAAGGAAGCGTCATCACTTCATGAATCATGCCAGACACAGAGTACCCACATCCTCTCCCTGCCAGCACTGCCCAATCCGCTTGACAAATCTACCTACCCCCCGCCTCTCGCACCTATGATATCCGATATCCTATGATTGAGTCTCGCGTCGCCTTCCCTTCTCCTTCCCAGCGTCTGCTGCACGGACAAGACCACTTTGCCGATGGCTATGATGGCTTCGACAGCTTCTGCTTTCACAAGAGATCAGGTGGCCAGTAGAGTTGATCCCCTCGCAGGGTCCCTAGGCTCTGTAAAGATCTGTAAATTCAGAAGCTTCATGACAGTTCAGCGCTTCCTAATCGCATCATGCAGCATCCAAAGGACGAGCTCCGCATTAGTCCCCAAATGCGACAGACCAGATCAGAAAAACACGTCTTGCGTCGCCGAAGCAGAAAGCGAGGCATCGCTGCTCTGCACTACCCTCCTCGTGCAACATGTCTCGGATTACCTGGTCGAGTGAGATGACGTTAGCACTCAACCCTGGAATCTTTGTGCGCGGCTCTCAGCGGGGGCCTCCAGAACATCGCCCACCTGGTGCAGCATGAGAGTCTTCGCTGGTTGTGCTGCCGTGAAATGCTTGACAAACTGCCTGCCACCACTGCTCATCTTCAGCAGCACGCTGGTGGCACAAGTGCGCCAAGGACACGAGATCCCCTTAAATGGGGCCCCGAATCAGGCAGGTACAAGGATCGTGCTTGGGACCTGGTCAGCTCAGGCCCGGGCTACAGAGTGCATGCAGCAAGGTCTGCCTGAGACCCATGCGAGCAGAAGGCAGAAGGCAGACAAATTCGGGGACGTCCTCAGTCCACGGCACTGAGGTCGGGATGTCCCTGCTTGACAAGTCCTCCAAGAAGAGCAACGAAGCACTCGATACTGAACACTTCCATTCAGCCAAAAAAGACCTCTGTCTACCGGATCACATCCAGAGCTGCTCGTCCCTCGCTCTTTGACTTGCCAGGGCCTGGTCTTCTCTCACAGGCCTTTCTGGCTCATGGTTCTATAACCAATGCCCACAAAACTGATGCTTACCTCTGGAGACAAGCGAAACCATCTGGCGTGCAACGGACATGCATCAGCTTACTGGCTTGCAGCCCATGCGCAATCGTCTTGCATATGGTGAGCACACGCCAGCAGTGCTGACAAGAAGTCTGCATTACGATGTCGATCGATGTCGTCCTTGCCCGGCACGGCATACGACATCGCAATCCAGATAACCTGTGCCATCGTGTTGGCCTTCAATGCTGCATAGGGTCTACGCATTGAAGGCCAAAGCCGTGCGAGGTCTTCTTTGTAAAGCTGGTATGGAAGTAGCCGTGTGCTTGACGAACAGGGGCGAAAGCAGCTTCACATCCAGCTCCTCTGTACCCCACAGACCGAGGACCGGTAAAGCCGGTCGGTCCATGCACTCTCACTCCGCGCCATCTCGGCCATGAGAACGCACCATTGCAGCCAGATGCTAATCTTGCGCACAGTTTCCGCCAAAGGTGACTACAGTACATTGGGCAGCAGAATGTTACACTAAGTTACACTCTCCTCTGCAGTCATTCTTGCTGAGCTACATGATCCATAGCGGTGTCATGGCGATGGCATGCAAAGGACATGTCGTAACGAGTCGCAGCTGTCAAGAACCCGACCGGCAGCATCTCATGAACAGAGGTCCCAACTATGACACTTGAACATCATGCTAGCATACACGGCCCGAGGCATGGTTCGTTCAAACGTTGTAGGTTAAACACGCAGTCTGCTCAGAGGATACGCAGGAACACCCTGGAACGAGATATAGTAACCGGGATCGGGCAGCCCGAATAAAACTACGCCCCCCACTGATGTCAAAGCATAGCACACCACAGTACCTTTGAACAGCGGCTGCGTCGGGCGCAGTCCGGCTTCCACCGCAACGAAACCCGCATCAGTTGGATGCCAACGAGTTGCACATCGGGTGGGAACCTGCAAGTCGACCAGATCCAGGCACAAAACGAGTTGAATTCGGATCCAATGTTAATTTAATCCACTTGTCTGCACAGATCCCAGAACCAATGTCAGATTCATAGGTGGTTACAGGGCTGCCGGAGGCGTTCTAGGATCTTGTGTTCAGGGCGGAGGCAAGCATGTCAGACCTCGACCTCAAGAGGCTCTCTGCTGCCTCAGGTCACACATGCCAGTACTTCCTAGAATCTCTGCATCGACTCTATACCTTGTCGTCGTCTGACTTGCAATGCCACTAGCTGTGCTGCAACTTTTGAGCAGCTTCTTCGCCTGGACCGCAAGGACTGAAGCACTCTCAACACAAGAATGCTTGAGATGAATCGATGCAGAAAGCGGCACCAGGCTGCAAAATATCCAGTAGCTGCATCGCTATTGGCTGTACAAGGCATGCAGCGGTCGTGCTGGAATCTGGTCACGGGCCAGCTGAGACGGCGACGAAGGGGAGCTCATTCCTAGAACCGCGGTGTTCACAAGCCTTCGGGTTCAAGCTTTTGAATCTAAGCTTGGATTGCTTAGCGTTTCATCAGCCGTGGCCGAATTAGACTGGTCGACTGGTCGACTGGAGCTTTTTGATGGCATCCAGCCTTGCTATGCATTGGATGCACGAACCGCAGCAGATCGATGCACCCGCCTAAGCAGCCGCAACCTGGGAGTATCTGGAGCCATTTGGGTCTGTACTTGGGCTCTCACCCAGCTAGAAATGCATTCCTTGGCTGATGTGCGAACTGCTCTCTGCTCTGCTCTCCTCTGACATCTACACACACCGCTGGCATTCGCAAAACCTCGGGGGATGAAGCGCCTTTACCTGGTGCAGCCGAGCCCAGCCGAGCCGCCTGCGCAAAGCTGAAGGCACAGAGAGCCGCGCGCCGGCTCCTGAGTCGTAGCACCTTGCAGTAAGGCGCCGTCCTCCGGTAAAGGCAGAGTACGAAGCGACGGCGCATCTCGTGTCTGGCGCTCTCCGTTCTGAGGGTGGGCCGGACAAGACGAAGCTCCACCCTTTCCCAGTTCCCCCGCGCTTGCCAAGCCAGAAAGACGTCTGCTTCACGTGCAGGTACGCATCGTCTGATGGCGCTTGACCGCACGAGGAAAAATCCAGAGCCTTGTACCGCAAGCAGAGATCCGTCACCTCCCGGCAAGTGCCGCAATCGCCAGTCCCGAAGGCGGGTTCCCCTGACCGCGCTGTTTACCACGCCCATAATGGAAGTCACAGAGTGGGAATACTGCAAGGGTGAGCCGATGTGAAAGAGCAACGGCCCCACTCGCCGGGATAGGGGAGCACCCAACTCTGCCACGCGCTCGGGACAAACGTACCATGCCTGCACCAGAGAAGGATAGCGAGTCCGATGGCTACTGCACAGCAGTGCATGGCATCTCCCCTTGCGTGACGTTTGAAGACTGAGGGCCCGTTTAAGTTATGGACAGGCTGCCAAAGTGTGGAAGAGTAGCTGCATCGATTGAAAAAGCTTTGCCACCTTGGCTGCAGCGACGACGGCGCCAACAGATCGAGGAAGTGAAGCTGCAAAAGAGGTCATCTTACGTCATTAGACATATCGCTTCGCCCAGTTGCAATCACCGCACTGGAGGACAGGATCGAGAACACAAAGTGCCAGGTCCCTTCGAGCAAGCACCGAAGGCTGACCTGAGAGGAGACGAGTTCCAGCTGGGCTGGAAGCCGCTGTGCTGGCTGTCTGTCATGCTAGAGTCATGCTAGCTTCACGAATGATCCGACTGTCCAAAGCTACATAGAGCTCTTGCTGGCAAGCTTCGGTGATTGAGTGGGCAGAGAAAGCAATGTGACACTGGCGTCTGCACTCTCGATAGAGTTGCTGGGCATGCCAAGGGAAGCCATACCACAGAAGATCCATCAAGGCACCTTGCAGGAAGCATGACAGTCGCGCAGGTAGTCTTGAAAAAATCAGAACTTAGCGCTGGAATTCACAAGATTTAGAACATGAGATATGGAAGGCTCCATGTAAGATAGCTAGCTGCTAGCTACATGCATGTATGTTGATTCAACCTGACTGTGGGGAGAAGCATCAACCAGTCAACTCAACCCCACATGACCCTGGAGCCGAATCTGCGCCCTCGAGTGCCTCCTTCTGTCGTGTTCGACCCCCCTCCTTTACCCGTGGATTCATGGTTCAGACCAGGCCATGGTGTCGTTTCTGTGCCAAAATCATCAACGGATCATGAAGACTGCACAAGATGGAGGCAGTTGAGGCTGAAGACAAGTCAAGCAGATGCTTGCATTTGCCCTAGCCCTTCTGCGCGAGACTCACAGGCAGTAAGTGGGTGTGTACGGTACTTCGCATAAGGTTGCGTTTCCTCCTGCTGATTCAACGGTCCTTCAAGTGCAATAACATGTAGTAGTAGTAGTAGTAGTAGCAGCAGCAGCAGCAGCAGCAGTAGTAGTAGTAGGAGCAGCAGTAGCAGTAGCAGTAGTAGCAGTAGCAGTAAGAGTAGCAGTAGCAGTAGCAATAGCAGTGCCAG